CAGCCCAGCTCCAGGTTGAGCTGTTGTTCAGCATCTTAGCTGTGGAGGGCAGTGTCACTGGCCCTCATATGTGGGATCCGAACCTGGGCCCTCTGGCGTCCCAAGCCAGCTCTTAACCAACGCACCACTCGGCCGGCTCTCAGTTGGATTCTTAACTGTCATTTTAACGGAATCCATTTGACAGATGGACTTGAAGTGCTAAGTCATTCACAAGTTTTATCATCAGTATGCCCTATTGTATCTACTTATCTATGTGGGTAATACCTCGTTTAGCTCAGTTAACTCTGTACTTTCAACTCTATTTATCAAAGGTAACAAGGATTTTAAATAAGTTTGGGTATTAAACCCAGTACCATGACCTATGTATGCCTTAGGCAAATTACTGAAGCTCTTCGTTTCTTAATTTGGAAAGACGAGTGCAGGACCTCACAAGCCAATCGAAGGGTCTGCCATGTGCTGCATTCCCTTTCCAAGAGAAACTGAGACACCATGGGAGGTCAAGGCAGCGCCTTTAAAACTACAGCTACATTCTGACCGTCCTGACTCTACCCCAGGGACTGTCACTTAAAAGAAGGCAACTCACTGATAAGCAGTTGGGCCAGTTGCCTGGCATGAAAGTTCTGCCCCAAATGGGACACTGGTGATTGATTCGCTGAGGCAATAAGAATATCTTAGAAACATGACCTAGGAATGACAGGACTCACTGAGGTGGAAGCTGAAACTCTCTCTCTCCCTTATTCTGCCATCTTGTGGCAGCTACCATCATCTCTGCTTCCCTGCACAACCAAACTTCTTGAAGGTATTACCTACATTACTAATCAAAGCATGCTCAGCAAAACCCTCGGTGTACCTAAGACCTTCCTTTTCAGGGGATTGGCAAGGTCAAAACTATTTTCAAAATAACATTAAGTCCAGGCCAGCCGAGTAGTTCAGTTGGTTCAGAGTTAGCTTTAGAGCACAAGCTCTGAGCAACAGGGCTGTCAGTTAGATTCCCACATGGGCCAGTGATACTGCGCCCGAGCTGAGCTGCCGCTGAACAGCCAACAGGTGGCAGGATGGCTCAGCTGATGAAAGCACATGCTCCTAACAACAAGACTGCCTGTCCAACGGTGGGCTATGCCTGCCCGCAACTAAGACTGAACTTGGCACCTTGAGCTGAGCTGCCACCCCGATGGCTCAGTGGATACAGCGTGTGCTCTTAACAACAAGGCTGCTCGTTCAACTCCCGCATGGGATGGTGGCTGCGCCCACCTGCTACTAAGATTGTAACACAGCATCTTGAGCTTAGAGGCCACGAGCTGCCAACGGGCAGCCAGGTGGTGACTGGCGCCCTCCACAACTAAGATTGAAGAACAACAACTTGTCTGGTCCCCTCCCCCAATTCCCCAATTTTTAAAATAAAAAAGCCACTTGTTGACTATCAAAGAAGAAATATACCCAATAACCTGAAAAAGCTATTAAAAAGCTCCTCCCTTGCCAACTGTACATCTGCATGAAGCCAGACTTTCGTCACATGCTTAACCAAAACTACGTAGTCAACAAATTGAATGAAGAGGCAAATATGAGCATCCATCCGTATTCTATTAAGCCATACATTAAAGACATTTGTAAAAATGTAAAACAAATGTAAAAAAATAGGTTTTATTTTTGAAAAATGTAGCCATTTTTCACTAAAAATATTACTTATTTTTACACATAATGCCTTTATTGCTATTATTTTAAATAAATTGATAAATATTTCTCAAATTTCACAATTACAATTTCTAATACATTAAATATAGATATTATTCACATAAACAAAAGGAGTGTTCTGTCCAAAGTAAAAATTTAATCCTATAATTCCCTTGATTAAAATCCTTTAAAACCCCTCTTAGTTTTCAGAATATCCAAATACCTTGCTTAATATAAAATAGCTCATCAAATGTTTGATTTAACATTTAATAAATCATTTTCATAAAATTTAATAGGCAAATCTATTTTAGTTTAAAGAATTCCACTTCTAGAAAGTTATTCCCTTACACAAGAGTGCATGACTATGTTCAAGGATGCTCACTGCAGAATTACTGCAATATCAAAAAACATAAGTAGAATCTAAACGTGAAACAAGGTATAATTAACTGTAGTATGGCATATTCATAGCAAGTTGCAGAAAAAAACATACAGTGGGATCCCATTTTTGTAAAAAAAAAGTCAATAAATATATTTTTGTGGGTGCATAGTAAATTTCTGGAGAGATATACGTCAAACTAATAATGAAAGCTCATTCTACAAATTAGAAGACATTTGCTTCAAGAGTTTTATGGTTTTCACATTTAGCACTTTAATGTATCTAAAAATTATTTTGCATGTGATATGAGATGGGGGTGGTCTAATTTATTTCTAAATGAACAGCCAATTGCTGCAGCATTTTTGCTGAATGGTCTGTTCTTTCCTCACAGATCTGAAATGCTTCTTGTGCCCTATAAACTTTCACATATACATGATACTTATACAAGAGTCCATTCTATTCCACTAATTTTAATCTATTCCAGTACCAGCACCAGATGTTGCACATAAGTATAGCTTTAAAGTATGTTTCAATATCAGGAAGGTCAAATTCCCCCAATATTCTCATTCAACACATTTTGGGTTGTTTTTACATAAATATTTTTTTAGACAAACTTTAAAATGAGTGTGTTAAATTCCAAAAATATATTAAATTTCTACATTAGTTTAGTGAAACTTCATTTTAATAAAATCGGTTCTCTCCATTGAGGAATTTGACATGTCTGTATTTTGGTCTTTTTTTTTTTTTTTTCTGTTCTTCAGTAAGAATTTTTTTCTTCATTTAGAGCTAAGTTTACCCCAGGTATTTTCGTTTTTATTGCTACTGTGGAAAAGATATCCTTTTTTTAAAATTACATTTTTAAGACTGATACAGCTAACATTTAAGTCAGCTACTGATTTTTACATCCTTAAATCTGGCCATGCTATGGAAATCATGTATGGAACTCCAGGTAGTCATAATTGTTTGGCTTACTTAGTGTACTGGGTACCAAGATGTCTCATGTGATAAAATAATGGAGCTGAAAAGTGAAATGAAACAATAAAAACATGCTGCTCTTAATTCACACTGCACCCACTCCTGAATAAAGGCTGCCGTGAGTATTCAAAGCACACCCAGGGTATGTCCCAAGGGCCAGAAAGCCCAGGGAAATGGTTTGGTGGCAGTGGGAGCAATCGTCATCTCCATGAGCCAACAACACCATGTAAAGAGGATAAATTAATGTCACAAGTTTCCAGAGATTAAAACAAAGTACATAATTCTAATCAATGTTACAAATATATATTACCTCCTCAGGAACTCCAATTCTTTTAGCTGGGATTCCCTGACAGCTTTTTGCAAATAATTCTTCTCCCAAATGACCATAGTTTTCCAAAGCAGTCTGAGAATAAATGACTCCCTATGTTTAAAAATAAAACAGGACCAAATAAAACACACGAAATTAAATTTTAATTGTAAAGACATCAAGGCAGTCTATCAACCAATACGCAGAATTAAGTGGTTTAAGTTTAATAGAAAAGTTCCTATTTCTAATATTAATTTTCCTCAATATTGTCAAAGAAATACGGTCAACCACTATTACAAATGGATTATCTGAATGTTCATTTTGTGACCTCCCCTTCGTTTATAACCAGCCAAGCTCTGAGTTTTTTCATAAAAGGCTTGGTTTCTGAAAGCATAATTATATGAGTAGATCAGGGAGGCACTTAACTGGGAACAAGGGGACAGGGGAGTCTATTTTATCTTCCACTAAGCTTCTCCATTGTACAATACAGGACTGGGCGATGATTATGTGTGATTTAGAAAATGCAATATTTTCAGGGCTTTTCACCTACAAGGGAAATCACAAATAAAACATGTGAATCCAACATAAATAAACTAAAATTTTAATTGTTTAAGAATTCTTTGATATTGCTCTCACTCACTTTCAAGGGTTTATAAAGCCAAGAAGATATCGCAAAAACTGTGTAACAGAGGAAAAAGCTATTTGTTATTAGCTCAAAACTACAAGAGGTGACGGGAAGGAGGAGAGGAACCAAGAGCCATGGAAGTAAGAAGAGGAAACGTGTTGCTATTATTTACTCTAAATGATACTGGGATAATATCCTGGTTTCTAATCAAACGATCTTCTAGAAGTATTAAGGTTCAGACATTAAACCTAAAAACATCTCAGGAGGACAAACATAACTTTAGTAATGTGTTTTAAACACTAACATGCCATGAAAGGTTTTCAAGAAATGCACTTTTGGAGGCCAACATTCCAACGTGTCAACATTAAGAATGGAACTACATTTCATTTACCCTATAAATATGTGAGTGTAATATGGGTGAGGTAATGTCAGCTACAAAGGACTGAAGAGAAATGAAGTTTCTGGCTAAGAGCCCGCAATTTGTTAGAGATGAGATTTTCTACTAATGTCAACAAGTCAGTTTATGCTTAGTTCCCACTGAGTAGTGTGGCTAACAATAGCTATAGATATTATATAGATCAACCACAGATGTTACAGAATTTCAGATCTTAGCAGTGACCAGGAAACATCACTGTGAAGTAGATCTGAGTTGAGTTTTGCAGGATGAATGAGATGTTTCATTTAATGTCTCTCAGTACATGGCCAATATGCAATACTCCAGGAAGCTTATGCATGCTATATCTTACTTCCTACAAAAATAACAGTTTTTGAAGTTGACCATCTTGTGTTCTTTTTTCCCTCCATCACTTACATTAAGTTTCAGAGAATTTTTCTCTCGACTTTAATAGTTGATCTTTAACTGGGAGTTCCTTCTACAACTTTGACTTTAAGTTTCTCTCTCTCCTAATACAGAAAGGATTACTGATATATCAAGAAATAACAAAATGATCCAGAAAAATTCATTCTTTAAAACAGCGGTTCTCCACATTCACTGTGCATTTGAATTTCCTGGGTGGCTTTTAAAAATACTGATGCCTGGATTCCAGAGTTTGGATTCAAGATGATACATCACTATTTTTTAAACATCTGATAATTCTAATATATAGCCAGGATTGAGAATCACTGCCTTAATCAAATCAAAGAATACTTGTAAGTCAAAGAATATGTCTTTCTGATTTTGCCTATTTTTAAAAGCCAATCTTTTGTAGTATACACACCTATTAACAAATACCTCTGTTAAAAACACAAAATCATCTTCAGAAGAGCAGTTTGTCAACAGCTTTCAAATAGAAGATTTACGTACCAGGGCAACACAGTTGATCCTTATTCCACTGCTGGCCCATTCCAAAGCTAAGGTTTTGGTGAGGTTGTAAACACCTTCTCTGGCAGCTCCACTATGCCTTCAAAAGACAAAGTATAAACATTATAATCAGAGTCTGCTGAGTATTTTTCTCGCTCACTACACTGACAGATGACAGGTGTATACCAATGACCTGTCATAGCCCCACAACAACGTTCTTGTCATGATGTTCCGTCTTTTTGAGTCTCTGGACAATGGGAAAGAACTAGGCCCTTCCATAGCAAAGCCAGACCACAGCCATCTGATAGTTACTCAAAGCTCACATTGTGTAGGCCCCCAATTCACATAAGCGTAAGAGGAATATTGAAAAACTTTTCTATTATAGAGGAAAGCAAACCAATTGGTAATTTTGAGGGTTACAAGTGTGGTTGTTTTTTAGATCAATTTTAGCTAATAAGGGATAGGAAACTCATACATCAGGCTAGAAAATAGTTTCAATAGAGTTTCTAGACATACCAAAATTTAAATAAATTTTAATGTATTTCCAGGTAAGAAGTCGACAATATTTAGGTCTGCATCCATGTGGGGGTCTACAGAAGGTACAGATATGCTATGGCTTAGACTTTCTAACGACAAGGTCCTCAGAACCAAGTATATAAGATCTGAGGATGTCCCCACTTGTCTCCAGAGTGCCTACAGAGGCCAACCTTCCTGAAGCAAACCCACATCAGTCCCAGTGTCAGATATGGCAGCCCTGGTGGGACCCCAGGCAGGAGCCACTGCTCCACCTATCAGAATTACCTGAGTGACCCCAGTCACTGTCAAATGTGGCCACAATTTCTGTTGCTACTGCATCTAAAAGTCTTGAGTGGCTCTTAAGGACAGGTTCCCTTTCCCTGTCTGTCACCACCGATGCTAAGAGGGGCCTCTCTGGAGCAACACTCAACCGAAAAGGATGACCAAGCTCCTCCATACACCACCGGGAGTAAGAGGCGGAGCAAGAACTGACATGCTTATGCAGGAAGCATAGCCAAGACTGGCCCTTTTCTGTGAGAGTATCTAGACGTGTGTGCCCACCTGCACTCAGCCCCTGACCACCAGGGCAACCACAGGAGGTCCTGCCCCTCGAGAGAAGGCTCCACAGTTACACAGAGCTCCTGAAGAGGCAAGTGGCAGTCGTTCAGAAACTAATAACCACCCAAGAGAGAAAAACACTAGAACCGAGAAGTAGAAAACCAGAGACAGAACTTACTCTCTGAATGTGTGCACCTGAACCAGTTTGTAGAATGTGAGCAAGAGGCAAGAAATGTAGCAGAGATGCGACCCCTAAATGTGACGATAGGAGTTTAGGGCATTTTGCCCCAAAATAGGCCACTTTGACATATTATTTTGAGCTGTTGGCAGGGAGCAGCTTTCTCTGAATTCCCCTTATCTGCCAGAAGACAGATCCACCAAAAGGAACTCCATTGTCATAAATCCCTTCTCCCCAACAGTTTCACCAACTACGAAAGATTAATTCTTGTCACAGGAAACTAGAAGTTGACACCATTCCCAAACTGTGTCACAAACTTTCATACCTCCCATCTCTTCCTCCAAGGGCCCACTTGTCTTCCCTAAGAACGATCTACTCTCCTCTACAAGGCCTACGTCTCCCCTCCCCTTTCCTTACGAACACGGTATTTAAGTCTGAATTCTAAGCTACCTCAGGGAATTACTCATTTTCCCTGGGTATCTCCCATGTATCCATGAATAAACTTCTGCTTGTTCTCCCCCTTGTGAACCTGTCTTTTATTTCAGGGGTCTCAGCTAAGAACTCAGAGGGTAGAGGGAAAATTCTTTTTCCTCCCCTACACAGTTCTCTCAAGGTTTGCCAATGGAGAAAGGGACGTTCAGTAGAAACTCCATGCAAACCTAACAGCATTTTCAGACTACATTTTCCGACACTCAAAGAGCTGCTAAAGGAGGCAGAGGAGGGTGTGATGGCAGAAGCACTAGCAACAGGTGTGAAAGCTTGAAAGCCCCAGGTCTCTATGCCTTGCAGTCCTTCTCCTTCATAGTATTCAGCTCTGCAGGGAATTGAAAGGAGTGACTCTGGATCCCAAAACAGCACATCCTAATCTGCTTGTTTCTGGGATTAAAATAAATAAATAAAAATAAAATCTGTAACATTTATGAAGAAAAAGCAGAGTTCATCTGAATCAAGATTTACAGCCTATCCAGTAGTCCTGAGTTCTAAAGGATTTGATCCTGGCTGGCACAGATGGATGACAAGCCTGAGCGAGTCATGGGGGTTTGTAACGACTTCATTCTCACGAAGGAAAAGGGACCCCTGTCAGGACAGAGAGTGGAGTGGTGACTATGGAAGCTGTGGAATGGTGACTATGTTGAATGAGGGACTGTTCCAGTTATTCTTCTTGGAAAGGAAAAGCCCAGATCCAGATATGTGTAAGAGTTCATTTGACTATTTGAATGGCAGGTCTCACATTCATTCTTTTACTGATAAACTTTCTGAAGCACTAATGTGATTTAGTATCAGACGGGATTTACAACTTCTTACAATCTGTGCAAGAACGGATTATGAAAGATAAACTGCCCTTCGGGCTGTCGTGCGTCATTTTCTTGGTGTAATTTATAAATAGGAGGCAGACTCACGTGCAACTCTCAGTGAATTCAGCACTAACAACATTTTAAAATGCTTCTACAACTTACACACTAGATGAAATTATATGTTATACACATACATGAAATCATATGGTATATGCTCTTTTCCATCTGGCTTCTTTCAGTTACAATAATTATTTGAGATTCATCCATGCTGTTGCATGAATCAATAGTTCATTCCTTTTTATATATTTTTTTAAAGATTTTACTGGGAAATTGGGGGAGGGGAAGAGAGTTGGGGGAATCGGGGAAGGGGAACAAACAAGTTGCTGTCTTTTTTTTAAGCTTATACAATATTTTACTTTTTTCCCCTATTGCTCATTGTTATTGCTTTTTTATTATTTTTATTAGTTTCAGTTGTACAAACAATGCAATAGTTATCCTTTTCACCCCTCACAAAGTGACAACCCCTGTCTCCCCATCCACTGCCCTCCCACCCCCGATATCATACATATCTATTACAATTCCACTGACTCCATTCCCACACTATACTCCACATCCCATGACAAGTTGCTGTCCTTTTGTTCTTCAGTGTAGTTGTGGAGGACGTCACTTCACTGGCCCATGTTGATATTATCAGTGCGCTCTTCCCAGGCGAGGCAGTCGTTCACCAGCTGCTCACAGTGGATTGGACGGCTGTTCACAGCGGATCATGGCAGCTCACGTCGGCTGCTAGCCACTCATGGTAGCTCACAGCAGCCCACTGCCACAGGGGCTGCAGCCTACGCCATCACCGGTGACTCACGGCAGCCCAGCTCCAGGTCAAGCTGTTGTTCACCATCTTAGCTGTAGAAGGCACTGCGTTTCTGGCCCTCATGTGGGATCTGAACTGGGGATCTGCTGCTCAGAGCTGGTGTTCCAAGCCAACTCTTTTTTTTTTAAAGATTTTTATTGGAGAATTGGGGGAAGGGGAACAGACAAGTTGCTATCCTTTTGTTCTTCAGTCTAGTTGTGGAGGATATGGCTTCACTGGCCCAAGTTGGCACCATCATTGCGCTCTTCCCAGGCGAGGCAGATCAGTCGCTGGCTTCTGGACGGCCGCTCACTGCGGCTGCTGGCCGCTCACGCTGGCTGCTGGC